TGTATGTATAGCTGCTTGTACTAGCCCGACTTCAGGTGGTTTTATAGTGCTAGCCCACTGAGATACCATGCCGCGGTGAAGCATGAATACCCCACTCAGACACATTATACTGACTCCGAGCCGACCAGTCCTTGTTATACCCATTAATGCCGAGCGCCAGGCAGGGACCAACAAGTACCATATTAACTTCTTTTGGTATGACGTGCCCGCAGATAAAAAACGCGACCTTCCGCTCTCCGGGTGGACGCTCTAACCACCACACCACGGAGGCGGTCCTATACTGCAGAGATGCCATATGGTAATATATAGCTAGATACACGGCTGCCATACACGGAGGTAACTATGCCTAAAAGGCGAACCTATAATACTGAATTTAGAAAAACATTTTTCAATAAAACATACCGTGATGCTAAAAGATATATTTTTTATCAGAACGTATTCATTTTATCTCATTGCCTCCCAAAAGTTATAATTTTTAAGCATGGCATTGATTTTATTCTGTTTTCCCTTTTTTGGAAACAAGAAAACATATTGTTAATATTCATTTAAATGTTTTGATTTAAATAATATAGATATATAAGTGCTACGCAATAAAGACTAAATAGGTAGGCAAATTGAGCTCTACTACTTTAGAGCTTCTCTTCCTACACGAACGAAAAGAAGTTACAAATCCAGATCATGTTTCAGATGGCATTTGGACACGTAGCAATATATCAAATGAATCATGTTCACATGTGGTCACTGTTTTGCAACAGAGCCTTACAAGTAACAGACATTTCGCCGATTTGTCCTGAAATGTTAAACCATGATGGAATATCAAGAACACCTTAGATATTTTCTGACAGTTTTTGTAAAAGCAAATGAACAATTTACGTTAAACACATTCATATTGTTCAGTACTTTGTGTTTTGGAAGTCTTATTGGAAATGTTTTAAAGGTCTAACCTACTGTCAAATACTTTGATACAACAGTTCACATCGATTATCCTATCACGTTGACCATAGACAGAATCTTGTCATATGTCCAACATATAATATCACTCCTCCAATTTTTTAAAAGAAAAAAATTCATTTTAAATTGCCATTGCAACTAATAACTCGGGTAGTAATTTGAGATTAAAAAACAATCTTAATAACCCAAAGGGTCTGTTTTCCTGAATGTGTCTGTGTGTGTGTGGCAAGATCTTTAAGTCTCGACGGCGAGACCAATCGATCGTCATCTTTCTTTTTGTAAGACGAGTGTAACATTTCAAGACAATCTGACGTTGAAAATTCATTAGCGCAAATGATTGTTGGTCGGTTTTATATTTCGGAGATGGTAAGCGGATCCCTTTAATTTGTGCAGATATTATACTAGTATATTACCGTTACAAGGCAATGCCTTATATCTGCCTGTTGAGTGACCAGCTGGTTGCAGCCTGCACACTACTTCATTATGTGTTCAAACCGTTGATGCTGTGATAGACATAATAACCCCCCTTAATATGCTGGATGTTGTCGTTAGCACAGAGTCTGAGTCATTCGATGCTGGTTAAATGTCAGCTGAACGACAAATAATGTTTGCGATTCAAAACAATTCATTATGATTTTACTTTGAGAATTCTAATATTTTAGAGCATTACAAATAATATGCATATGTAAAAACCTTAATGTTTGGAGTAATAGAGATAGCTTAACTCATAAATCCCAACAAGACTGACGTTTGATATTCCAGGAAGAAGATCTGAGAATATTCGCTTGATATTTAAATGTCACGGAGATGCCATTTACGGCGTTCAAACTTTTCTTTTCCACCTAAGAAAAGCTGATGTCCGTCCCTATATCCCTGGGCAAGTTTATGCCTATACTTCAACTGATTAATTCTCCGACGTGTCAAAGGACATGATGTATAAGAAGCAATTTGGAAATACCATTACATATCCGATTTATATCACAGTAAGTTAGCTGCCTTTAATACCTCAACTTTCCGACGCCACTCTCCTTTGAAGTCAACCACCCTTGAGCTTTATTGAATTCAGCCGATTCTTGTAACGTTCCTAATTACTACAGTAAATATCTGATTTCTGGAAAATATCTGGCAGTCGCGTGTTCACGTAGTCGTTGCTGTGCGATGTTGACAACGACGTCGTTTTGCAGACTACTGTCCAGCGGTAATGGTGATATGTATGTCGCTTTTCATTTATTGAATAACGTGCCTTCTCGAGATTAGTTGATGCTGTTTCCAATGTGAGAGTTTGATTAAGGTAGACAGAAAGTCAAAGGAACAACAGTGAAGCAAGTGTACGCCAGTAATTATATTTCATGTCAAGGTTTTCTCCGTCTGTACAACCAGTTCCTATTTTGAGCACGATGATCAAAGCACATGCAAACATCGGCTAGACATTTTACCTTGCATAGAGGGTACACCGTATTCTCGAAAATATGTTTATTCAGTCGCATGTTTAAGTTGATGTTAACACAAATAAATTAAATATATACTGAATATAACCAAAATGTTAAAATATCAAGTCTGTTCGTGGCTGTTTTAAACACTAGACATTAGTGGAGAAAGTGTTCGCCTACCTCGCCAGAGACATAGGTTCGATTCTTGGCAAGATATGATATGTCATGCAAATTGTCGGTGTCCCCGCTGTCATATTGCTAATCACTCTTTAGATGGATCAATACGATGCTTCCTTAATATTCCTTACTTGCAATGGACGTCATTCATCGCATCTTCTGATTATATCAATCGTTTGTTGTGTCGTTATTGACAAAGCTGAAATTGTTGAAATGCATATAACTCGGTGGTATGATAGGCCGACAGCCTGTGCAGCTTGTCCTAGTTCCAGAATTACACATCAGATTTAGCACACATTTAGACAGGAAACGTTACCAGATTGCAATATAAGCGCGTCATAAGAATACAGGTATATCATAACATCTTAATTTTGATTAAAACGACTTGTCCATCGTTCCACAAATGTATTCAACATGGCGGCGGACAAGCCTACGTAAGATGGTCAAATACTTAATCTACAGCCAGTCGTTCAGGTTACACAGATCATCAGAAATCTTTCATAGGCGGATCCAGAGGAGGGGTGTAGGGATGCGCAGCCCCCTTTTGTGCTGAAGGTTTATTAAATAACCATTGAAATTCTCGTGAAAACGGGTGAACATGACTGAGTGAGTTTAGTTTTATGCCGCTTTTAGCAATATTCCAGCAATATCACGGCGGGGGACACCAGAAATGGGCTGCACACACTGTACCCAAGTGGGGAATCGAACCCGGGTATTCGGCGTGACGAGCGAACGCTTTAACCACTAGGCTACCCCACCGCCCCCGGGTGAAAATGAACTATGAAGCCCCCTTTCTCAAAACGCTGTATCCGCCCCTGCTTTTTGTTAGAGTTTACATGTGCATTCTAATGACCATATGATCATTTGTTAAACAATCTGCAGTGAGGCTTTCAATAGGATGTAACTGTTAAAGTACTCCTAGTGCTATACATATGAAAGTGTTGTCATGGGAGTATACAGAACCAGTTATGTTGTTGCTGACGAGCCCACTATACCATAGTGTACACCGCATACTGCAAAACCTTCGTATTAAGGATTCATAAGTTTACCATCGAGTCAGAATGGTCTTTGCACAGTGTTTGGACAATACCTCCCAGATTTTATTTGGACATCATGTCAAATAAATGAGATGACAAACACATAGACTAGTACCATGCATACGAACAAGCTATGTAAATGCTTTATATTTTTACCAAAGGCTTTAAATGTTTTTTACACAATTCTTCCCACGTGTTTTCTGGCCCACGTGCCAACTGTCTCAAGAGATCCCGTGTGTGGATAACGTTGGTCAATGTGCCACGACAACTGCATCGGATGTACATGTCCGTCTAGACAATGACGAAGAGGGTGTCATTTGACTAGGCAGGTGCACGACTACGTGTTCTGCATGTTCAACTAGAAGGATAATGACACATCAGACTGTTTCTCACCGGCGAGACCTCCCTGTCGAACACTGATGGGAAGAAATGAACAGACAAAATAATAGACCTTTCCTGTCAACACTATGAAAGACCGTTATCTTCCACGTTGCTTTCAAATTAACAGTAATGTTTGTGAATTAGAATGACCTCTGCCCTGCCTCTATCAGTGTCTCATAACTCCTGTCTGTGTCTGTATCCGTCGCTGGGTATCGATCTGGTCCCACTGAACATCAAACCCCTACGTCTGTAATGCACGTGAGTAATTACAAGACGCTAATACGTCCCAATCAGCATGTCTGTGTGTCTAGACTGGTTCACGTTACCACCAGACTGGGCTGTGACACACACGACAGTCTCACTGGTGATACCTCGCTTGTTCTACTGCAAGATGGGCATCACATTGAATAGCTGCCAGCTTCAACTAGACCGTCATCCTACACCACAACACATACGGGATCTCCTCACCCTATCTCTGATACGGGGATTACGCTCTTAAATAATAATACCTGTCATGCTGTCTCCATATTGACATGTTGTAACTTAAAACATGCTCAAAACATAATGATTTTCCTCTGTGATATATTTTTTTGCATATTTCATTGATAAAAGTAGAACAAAAATAGGTACTTAAATTTTATCATTGTTTTCCGAAACAATATTATTTTAGTGTAGATATCATATGAAATGGGGAGTCATTTCTGTTCGCATGTCTGAATAATAGTTTTTTTCTTTATGAATTTCTAAAAAAAATTATACACAAACAACTCCTTATTTTTAAAGCATCGTTTTGAAAATGGCGGCGATACCACGAACCTACCATTTGATAACGCCTATCTATATATCTATCCTCCTCGATTAGTGTAATATGATTATGTGTACAGTAAGATGCTTGTTTCTTCGCGCGAAATGTTTACTTTCCAAACGATTAGGACTGAAATGTAGATTGAAATTCTGCTTGTCAATATTCATATGTTCTTAGATGATAATACTATCACTTAAATTTATATCTTTTCCATTCCAGAAACCATTTCATCATGAGCAAGAACAAGAAAGAGGATGATAAACCCCCACCCTCCACGGGTCCCGGTAGTAAGATACTCGCCCTACCGTCCATTGTCAGGAGGCATGTGCTCAAGGAGGGCACTGTCGTCATCCTCAACTTCTCCACGGCCAGTCTCAAGGCACTGCCAGCGGAGATCTGGAAAAACGAGGAAGTCATGGCCAACGCCGTTCGCCTCCATGCTGAAAACAACCGCCTTAAGAAGTTCCCTAAGACTGTATCAGCCTTGGAGGTATTAGAGTTTCTAGACTTGAGAAACAACCTCATCACTGCCCTTCCTGGCACAATCACAAAGATGAAGACTCTGGAAAAGATCGAAGTGTCTAACAATGCTTTGAAAAGTTTACCGGGTACAATAAACAAAGCTCCCGCATTGAGGACTTTAAGCGCGGCCCATAACAAAATAAAGTCTCTGCCGAAGACCATCAACAAGTGTCCGGAACTGGAATATCTGGATGTATCTTACAACCAAATCCGATCTATAAAGAAGAACGTGTATGAGCTGGGAGCTGCCGTGAACCTGTCTGGAAACAAACTGACGGAGTTACCAGATGCAACAGTGAAGGCCCCAGCTCTGAGATCCCTGAATGTGTCGCACAACCAGATAGTGGTAATCCCAGACACAATCAACATGGTCCTGACCCTCACAAGTCTCAACCTAGCTCACAACGACCTCGAGGAACTGCCAAGGGAAATAGGGTTCTTGAAGTACATGCACTTCCTTGACGTATCTCACAACCAGCTAGTAGCTCTACCCGACGAACTCTGCACCTTGCAACATGCTCTAACACATCTCAACGCCTCTGACAACCAGCTGAAGGATTTGCCAAAAGATTTTCACAAGTTTCAGGTTCTTCATACGCTTAACGTTTCAAACAACCAAATACAAACTCCTCCACCGAATTTCTATGACATACAATCGCTTGTGACTCTAGATTTATCAGGCAATAAGCTACAGTCAGCTGACGGCATCAGCAAACTTAAAAGTGCAATTTTGGTATCTCTTGCCCGGAATGACCTCAGCTATCTACCAGACGACGTTGACCAGATGAAATCGTTGGTCACCCTGGATGTTGCTGGCAACCACCTAAAGCAACTGCCACAATCTCTCAATCGAATTGCATCACTCAAACGTGTGCTGGTTGCCGATAATAAGCTATCCAGCATCCCTGACACTCTAGGGGAACATCAGCTGATCACAGAGCTAGACTTCAGTGGTAATCGCGTTCAAGGAATTCCTCAGGAACTCAGAAGGTTAAGGACTCTGGAGGTTCTACGGGTGGCTCGCAACCAGATATCGGCTTTACCTAAGGCTCTAGATACCCTTCAGTTTCTGCACACCATAGACGTGACAGGCAACAGCCTCACTGAGATCCCTCTGCCAGGAAGTGTCCAAGTCCTGCTCATGGCAAACAATCCTCTCTATTCTCCGTCTGTAGATACCAAAGGTACTCTCAATGTCATAGGGGAGAAGGAACACGCGAAGAAGTTGACTCGGCTAGACATATCAAGTATTCGTTTGGACAAGGTGCCAATATCAGTGTGTCGGCTTAAGCTCCTCACACATCTGAACCTGTGTCATAACCAGCTGAAGAAGTTACCTGAAAACCTCTGTAAACTCCGGCTTTTGGAAGAACTGGATGTCAGTGACAACGAGCTTCTTACTCTACCGCAGAACATCAACTGCTTACAGAATCTGAGACGCCTGGACGCATCTCAAAATCGGATCGGCCTATTCGTGGAAGGTTTGACGTTCCTTCATCAGCTCGAGTACCTTAACCTGTCATTCAACAATATCGAAAGTCTTCCAGACCACTTCGGAGAGATGAACAAACTGGTCACTCTTGACCTCTCTAACAATGAGCTGACTCAACTGCCGGAGGACAGGATCGACATCCTGGCATCACTCCTCACCCTCAATATCTGCAAAAACCACATTAATATAATCCCGACAGATCTGCCCTATCTGTACCGCATCCAGATCCTCAACTGTTCCGGGAACGATCTGAGTTCCATTCCAGTAGACATCTTCAGGATGACGTCACTAGAGGTTCTGGACTTGTCAGACAACTTGCTGGAGTCTCTCCCTGACGGAGTTGCCAAGCTGCCATCTCTTCGGGAGCTGGATGTGTCTGATAACAAACTGAGTTCCTTCTCCAACAAGATCGAGCAGATGAGGAGCAAGCTTAGCAGCTTCAAGTCAGAGAAACAGTCCAGCTACAAGACCCGTGATCTTCAAGAGGGTCTGGCAGCCGGGGAAGCTCAGACAGACAACAGCCGCGAAAACAGCCCCATCAACAGGTCCAAGAGTCCTATGCTAGGCAGGCCTGAAGACGAGGATTAGTCTCTTGGAGGCTTTGACTTCAAAGCGTTCGTAATAATTTTTGGCTGATTCGTGACACTTATTGCAGTTAATATGTATGTACAAGTATGTATGATTTATGTGTGAAAATGCCTGAAGGAATTTCAAAACACAATATCTAAAGCCAAATTCATAATATACCACTTGAAGTGATAATAATGTGTAATATACATTGAATACATTGAAATTCATATAGAAACCTGTCATAGATTTTGTACGAACATCTGCGATACTTATTGGTGATACAAGGAGTTGGAAGCGGACTCTGTAAGATACATTTGTGGAAAAGGGACTTCCGTATTAAAGGCTCTAAAGCAACTGATTATTTTCGTGAAAATTCTTCTCTCATAACGATTGCAACATTGTACATACCTCTGTCTAATCATGATGCTCCATATCCAACTTATAGATTCACTCTACTACAACATGGTGGGCAAGCATTAAATGGCAGTTCAGAAAATATACAAGTTAAACATCCAAAACATCAATGGCGAAAGGGTAATATTCATTTCTTCATATGAAAGTTTTCATTTATGTTAAAATAAAACTATCATCAGTTAGCCATATTTATTTGTATTAATTGCATATTACATTTCAATAAACTATACAATATTTTAAAGCTTTGGAAAATGTTCATGTTTGGATCTCCTCAGTTTGATGAGGTGTTATGTGAGGAGTTGATTGGCGTGCTCCAGTCCAACACAGCAGATTTAATGTTCTCTCTGTGGTGGTGGGGGGACATGTTTACTGCTTGAAAGATAATACGTAATGATGTATTTTATAGGCTTATTGCTATAATGTTCCAAGCCAAAGATATTCATAACTGTGATGTTATTTGTAATATACTCCCATGGCGATGCCCGTTTTGCGTCCTACTTGCATTAAGGCGATTTTTATTTTGTGAATAATGAATATCATATCTTTTTTCATAATAAGCTCTTACTGTGATACCTGGATTGGTTGTACATATATATAGGTGTTTATTGATGTTACATAATAAATATCATTTCATACCAGTATTGTTTGTCTTTATCAGCTACAAACGTGAATCAACACCGTTATCAAAGATGGGGAAGTACATGGAGGGTCGGGGGTAGCCTAGAGGTTAAAGCGTTCGTTCGTCACTCCCGACCCGGGTTCGATTCCCCACATGGGTATAATATGTGAAGCTCATTTCTGCCCCTCCCCCCCCTTGATATTGCCTGAATATTGCTAAAAGCGACGTAAACCCACCTCACTCACTCACATGGAATCAACAATCTATCAAAATGACAGTGATGGTGCTCTTGTTGACTATTGCCGTTGCTGAATCCGTATCCCTAAGATTGCTGACTTCCTGTGGTGTTTATTGTGATTAAATACTCGTGACGGGACTATGGCAGTCGTCTTTGTAATCACTACTGCTGATCGTTGTTTCTTGGACGATGATACACCATACATGATACTTGATACATTATATCGCATTGCATCTGAAGCGGTGGCTACTGTATCAATGTTGCAACCTTCGACAATGTATGTGCAATGCACGCACAGACCTGACCAGTATCAGATGACGAACTCTATTAATGTTCAATCACAATCTTTTTCTCTGATAAGGTAATTTAATCTTTCAAAATCTAATGAACTGGTTTACTTATATTACAGTATGCTGGAATGGTGTGATTGTTTCGTCGGGGATGTATGATGATTACGGAGCAAGATAATCTGATGGTATCTAAGAATGAAAACACACCGCAACAAAACAACAATAAAATGTTTGTTTGATGGTGATGTATTCTATACTCATGCCAATAATGGTTGCCACCCCCTTCAATTTCTTTAATTGGACAACCATTATTGGCATGAGTATATTTGGGTGCGGTATCCGAGGAAGGAGTTGGCGGAGTTCGGATGACGTCGTAAACATCGCTCCATTTCATCCCAAATGTGTTCAGTGGGTGCCAAATCAGGGGATCTCGCGGGCCAGAGTGACACATGAACAGTGTTCTGATTCAGATATTACCGTACAGCATGACCAACGTATGGCCTGGCGTCGTCGAGTTGAAACGTCACTTCTATTGCAAAAACGGTAAAATAGCCATTTTGTCAATTCTCGTCTCGGTACCTCACAGCAGTCAAGTTCCCCTCAATCACAACCATTGGCGTGCTCGCTGCATCTGTTATCCCACCCAAGATGGTAAGGCTCCCACCTCTAAAGCGGTTCGCTTCCAGAACACCTGGCCTGTGCGCCTGTAGACACGTGTCCTTAGTCAGCTCGATGAAGAAGGTCACGTGACTCATCGGTGAACAAGAACTGTTCTCCACTCACGTTCTCCTCATCGCAAGTGTTGTGTGCTGCACTGTCAACGTCGACGTCCATGTTCTGGCGTCAGAATTGGTCGTCGGGGCGGCGTCTTACACGGATGCTGTAGACGCGAAGACGTCATGGACCTGTTCTCGCAGACACCTCTGTTGCCAGGTATTGTGCGGGATCTTAGGGTTGCTGGCTGTCGCAGGTGCGTGATTCGAATCCATCGGTCTTCACGTGGGGGCGCTACTGGTGGGAGGCCACAACGGAGACGGTCTACAACTTGACTGTTTTGCTGAAAACGTCGCCGTAAGTGCCAAATGGTGTTTCTGTGGACTTTGAATCGACAACATCACGCTGCGAGGTGCCAGACTGAAGCTGCCTGTGGCCCTCCATCTGTCATCTTCCCTGGGGCGTGGCATGGCGAACATGTCCAGATCAAGGAACAGAGGTGTCTCTTCTACACTTCTTGCTCGGCCTTGTTTCTCAAATATCTCATGATTCTTGCAAATTTCGTGCAATTTAAACAAAAACTGCTAGGTTTCTTCAACAATTTTAACACACTTTATCAAGTTCAAGCAAATAATTCATTCACAAGATTAACAATGGAAATATTCCACATTGCAAACGATTTGTGAATAATGAAAAATGAAAGTGCAATTGTACGATATGAGAACAGCTGTTACATAGTAATGAATCGATTTGGCATGACCACATGTTTACATCTATAACAATATATAACCCCCGACAGATAGGTAATTGAACAGTTAAGCACATGGGCTGTTTCAAGTATAAACGCATTCATACATACATAGTCTCACCACATGTCCAGATAGGGTAAGTTGTCAAGCACCGACCCACTGACCGGTCGCCATATCTACAAAATCTGCAAACTAATATGGATAAATCTGAAACAAGCATTCCCGAATAATTCACTGTACAATGAAAAGTTTTAATATAATTTTTAAATCGATACATTCATTATCGTTTTTATTTAACACTTTCCAGGAAAGCCAGACTTCGTTGGCTGAATAACGACCACTAATGCTCCAGAACTGATACATCTCTACTACAAGACAGTAATTCAACACAAATCGAAAAACTAAATTAAATACAAATTATTTGTGAATCATTATTACATGTGGCACCGGGGATTCAGAAACTGGTAAACACGTCCAGACCACGCCAGTGGTGCCAAAAGGTCAAGGCCCCGATACCGTTTGCCTGAAAATAATTCTATGACGAAACTACTTCTTTGACCCCGACTAGACTGGTTGTTTTCAGGCAGCAGTAACGAGGCTGGAATATTGCTGACTTAATAAACCACGACTCGAAGATTTCAACATTCACTGGCCTTCCAAACTTATGAGGTGTATGCATGTGTGCGCGCGCGTGTGTGTGCATGTGAGTGTGCGTGAATGGACGGACGGATAGATGTTTTGTGGTTTTAATTTGTTGTTTTACGCCGGACCAGACAATCCAGTGATCAATAGCATGAGCATCGATCTACGCAATTGGGATACGTTGACTTGTAGCAACCAAGTCAGTGAGCCTGACCACCCGATCCCGTTAGTCACCTCTTACAACAAGCATGGGTTACTGAAGACAAATTGTAACCCGGATGTTCCCGGGTACGACCGATAGATGGGTGGGTGGATTTACGTTGTGTTTGTGTGAGAGTGCGTGCGTGTGTGCGTCCGTCTTGTCTTGTATGTATGTTGCATGTCGCCACTGACAGTCCACAAGGTATACAGACGTCCCATCTACCCAGGACCCCCGTCACATCTCCACCTGTATGACATGTGTCCCATAGATCTCGTCACAAACCTCAGTAATGGCGGATTTGACCAGAAATACCTTTGATTTCCGCTTGCCACGTAAGCTGTGTACACCGATCGGAAGAACCACACGACGTGCGTGCTCCCAATTTCCCCCGCAGACGGGAAATCCATGGACTTTCACAAATGTGTCTCCTTCTGTCGAACCATGTCAGCTTTTGTCTTGTCAACAGCCACTGGCCAAGAAAGACTTAAGATTATCAATTATCGAGATTGGATGAGACGCCCAGTCTGCTGTGGGAGCGTCGAGAGAGTGCCGTTGGGGTGGGCCAAGATGCCGTGAGGGTGGGCCAAGATGCTGTGAGACACAGAGAGGAACATCTAACACTAGAAGAAACCACACGACCGCTGGCCCAGAGGAATGAGTGAGTTGTGTTTTACGTCTCGGTATACAGTTTGTATGGAGATTGTAACCAATACACCGTCTTAGGCTACTACTTGCTACGATGAAATATGATACGTTTTAACCATCATTGAATATTATACAAGATATGATAGTGTGCAGTTTACGTAGGAAAGTACGCCGGCGAAACGAGCGAACGCTATATCCACTAGGATACCCCGCCGCCCCCACATACATACATACGCACGCACGCACGCACGCACACACACACACACATACATACATACATACATACATACATACTACACACACACACACACACACACATACATACATACATACATACACACACACACACATACTACATAACATACATACATATATACATACATGCTATACATACATACATACATACACGCACGCACGCACGCACATACATACATACGCACGCACACAAACACATATATACATACATACATACGCACGCACGCACGCACGCACACATACATACTACACATACATACATACATACATACATACTTTATACACATACATACATACATACATACATACATACACACACATACATACATACTACACACACATATACATACATACATACACACATACATACATACATGCTATACATACATACATACATACATACATACTATACATACATACATACATATACATACATACATACATACATACATACATACATACATACATACATACATATACATACATACATACATACATACATACATACATACATACATACATACATACATACATACATACATACATACATACATACATACATACAAACGTTGGTTGTTTCAACTGGAATACTGCATAAATATGTTCTTGACACTTTATCAACCGTTACATGCTATACATACATACATACTTACATACATACATACATACATACATACATACATACATACGTACGTACGTACGTACGTACCTACATACATACACACACACACACACACACACACACACACACACACACATACATACATACATACATACATACATACATACATACATACATACATACATACATACATACATACATACATACATACATACATACATACATACATACATACATACATACATACATACATACATACATACATACATACATACATACAAACGTTGGTTGTTTCAACTGGAATACTGCATAAATATGTTCTTGACACTTTATCAACCGTTAGAGATGGAATGATTGTGTCTCCACTATTCCAGACCACCAAACCCACCGCCCAAGTCACCAAACCCGGCCACCCAAGTCACCAAACATGGACGGCCAAGTCACCAAGCCCCGCCACCCAAGTCACAAAATCCGGCCACCCATGTCACCAACCCGGCCACCCAAGGCACCAAACCCCACCACCCAAGTCACCAAACCCCACCATCCAAGTCACCAAACCCGGCCACGCAAAACATCAAACCCGGCTACCCAAGGCACCAAACCGCACCACCCAAGTCACCAAACCCCGCTATCCAAGTCACCACACCCGGTCACCCAAGTCACCAAACTGCACCACCCAAGGCACCACACCCGGCTACCCAAGTCACCAACCCCGGCCACCCAAGTCACCAAACATGGACACCCAAGTCACCAAACCCCACCACCCAAGTCACCAAACATGGACACCCAGGTCACCAAACCCACCACCCAAGTCACCAAACATGGACACCCAAGTCACCAAACATGGACACCCAAGTCACCAAACCCCACCATCCAAGTCACCAACCCCGGCCACCCAAGTCACCAAACATGGACACCCAAGTCACCAAACCCGGCCACCCAAGTCACCAACCCCGGCCACCCAAGTCACCAAACCCCACCACCCAAGTCACCAAACATGGACACCCAAGTCACCAAACCCGGCCACCCAAGTCACCAAACCCCACCACCCAAGGCACCAAACATGGACACCCAAGGCACCAAACCCCACCACCCAAGTCACCAAACCCCACCATCCAAGTCATCAAACCCGGCTACGCAAAACATCAAACCCGGCTACCCAAGGCACCAAACCGCACCACCCAAGTCACCAAACCCCGCAATCCAAGTCACCACACCCGGTCACCCAAGTCACCAAACTGCACCACCCAAGTCACCAAACATGGACACCCAAGTCACCAAACCCCGTCACCCAAGTCACAAAACCCGGCCACCCAGGTCACCAAACATGCACGCCCAAGTCACCAAACCCGGTTACCCAAGGCACCAAACATGGACACCAAAGTCACCAAACCCGGCCACCCAAGTCACCAAACGTGTACCCATGTCACCAACCCCGGCCATCCAAGGCACCACACCCCACCACCCAAGTCACCAAACCCAACCATCCAAGTCACCAAACCCGGCCACGCAAAACACCAATCCCGGCTACCCAAGGCACCAAACCGCACCACCCAAGTCACCAAACCCCGCTATCCAAGTCACCACACCCCGTCACCCAAGTCACCAAACTGCACCACCAAAGGCACCACACCCGGCTACCCAAGTCACCAACCCCGGCCACCCAAGTCACCAATCATGGACACCCAAGTCACCAAACCCCACCACCGAAGTCACCAAACATGGACACCAAAGTCACCAAACCCCAACACCCAGGTCACCAAACATGCACGCCCAAGTCACCAAGCCCCTCCACCCAAGTCACAAAATCCGGCCACCCATGTCACCAACCCCGGCTATGCAAGGCACCAAACCGCACCACCCATGTCACCAACCCCGGCTATGCAAGTCACCAAACCCCAACACCCAAGTCACCAAACCCCAACACCCAAGTCACCAAACCCCACCATCCAAGTCACCAAACCCCACCACTCAAGTCACCAAACCCGGCCACCCAAGTCACCAAACCCGGCCACCCAAGTCACCAAACCCGGCCACCCAAGTCACCAAACTGCACCACCCAAGTCACCAAACCCGGCCACCCAAGTCACCAAACCGCACCACCCAAGTCACCAAACCCGGCCAAGCAAGGCACCAAACCGCACCACCCAAGTCACCAAACCCGGACACCCAAGTCACCAACCCCGGCCACCCAAGTCACCAAACCCCACCACCCAAGTCACCAAACCCGGCCACCCAAGTCACCAAACCCGGCCAAGCAAGGCACCAAACCGCACCACCCAAGTCACCAAACCCCGCAATCCAAGTCACCATATCCCGTCACCCAAGTCACCAAACTGCACCACCCAAGGCACCACACCCGGCTACCCAAGTCACCAACCCCGGCCACCCAAGTCACCAACCCCGGCCACCCAAGTCACCACACCCGGCCAATCAAGACACCAAAACCCACCACCCAAGTCTCCAAACCCGGCCAAGCAAGGCACCAAACCCACCACCCAAGGCACCAAACCCGGCCACCCAAGTCACCACACCCGGCCACTCAAGTCACCAAGCTCCCCACACACACCAGTCATCAACCTAGAACACCAAAGTCGCCAAAATCGACCACCCAAGTCATCAAATCTGGCCACCCAAGTCACCAAATCTAGCCACACTGTCGCTTCTTTCGACAAACACAGATTCCTGGTGATCTATTCTGAACCCGAAACCTCAACGGTGATGGGATTAGGTAACAGGAACGGTGAATTGCAAGGAACAGTGGGCTGAAACAATAGACTCAGGCTGATCGTGTCTGATTATCAGTGATAGAACACACTCATACATCTTTCTCTAAACAATATCAAAGTGAGAGGACCACGCGAGGGAGGGTCTAATCCTATTGGAAGTATAAATGTGTTGTCCTTACTAAAATAAATCTCAAAAGTTTTCATTACGCTGTCACAGACGACTTAGTGTTTAAAACAACAATTTCTAATGTGGCCGTGAGGAATTAGACTTCCTTACTGTTTTATTAGTCCATCCGCTGCACAAATAACAGGCTGCGTCAATAGCTGATTTTGAAGCTGATCTGTTTTGTACACACCCTGCAGACGAATCAAACCCGGTAACATTCGTCTCCACTCGCTTATTTCCGTAACTTGCAAGGAGTGTCATTAGACGTAACGTAAAGTTGCGAATTTTTGTGATCCTTAGCAAAGTATCAGTAGTATAGTTGAAACACTGCCTTCCTTCAAAGACATTTCTCTAACAAACACCTTGTCTGGGCAGCGCACAGAGCATACTACTGTGTGAATAGATGCGTTATTAAAATGTACACATTATTATTAATATGATTTTAGATATGATTATGTGTAGAGGGTGATGTTGCTTATATCCACACACTGCACACGAGTATCCGGCTTGACAGGTGAACGCTTTAATCACCGGTGTACGTTAAGCCCATGGATGGTCAGAATACAAAGAGTATACCGGTTTGTACAAAGTGCATAATATATAGTCTATCTCACAATGGATTTCCAGCTGACTTGCGGATATGTAAGAAAAAAGAAGCAGATGAACTGGTTTTACTAAATAATATATTAACTTCGCACACATTGTTCACGTCAGTGTTCTAATTGATGGCTATGCGCCATTGCTTCATATGCTGTGTTGTTCCATGTGGCGTCAAGCATACTCTCAACACACGCTTGGCGATGCCGTTTATACATTAAAAAGAAACTATAAAAGAAATACAGAAATAATTCAAAACTCTTTTGTAAAATGTTCACAAAGGTATTCTAAAGCAACTGAAGAAATAAAATGTCAAAGGGTTTTTTAGACACAAACGAGAGACGCATTCATACTCATATTCCCGATAGTAAAGGAAGAACTCAAACAGAACGTAAGTAATTAATCTGTGGCTCACACAGTTCTTTTATTTATCTATTTCAAACATCGGAAGAGTCCCGTCTTAGATGTGGAAATTAAAGTAAATAACATTTTTAAATTAAGAACAAAGGGAAGTTGTTTATTCTCTTATACCTATTGTTGTCTCCAAGGAAACGGTTGCAGAACATCATTACTAGTCAGTATGCCTGTTGTTGGGACACCGGGTGTCTTGATAGACTTGTTAGACAGGTGTCGGCTGCCACTACAACGGCTGTTGAGATACAAACTAGAGATACGTGCAACCTTCGGAGGTGTCAATACTGGCGTATGAATACAACCACACTAAACACTCCCTCTTAGCCCGTCCTCATAGTAAGGTATAGACGTAAGGCACCGTCCAACTAATCGAGTTGCAAAGGTATTGAACTTTTCTATTAGATATATCTACGTATGTTTGGCGAGTAATTCCACTCATTTCTAGCTTTTCATCTTATGTTGCGAATTATTGATTATAATATAAGATCTTACAATAGATGAAGAACACTGAAAGGACAAAGTTGGTATTTGGTTTCAAGTAATTTCAGCAAGGAACTTCTTAGACACACTCAGTCACGTGTCGCAAGTTGATTTTGCCTTTTGCTTGCATGAAACGAAAAAGATATAATTATCAGTTATATATGATCATACGAGTCAACATGTACAATACCATTTTAAAAGAATGCTATACTCATCATTTCTATAGTTGTATACATGTATAATATGTTTACACTGTCGTATGACCGTGTTCCTATTCAGTGGAATTCACTAGCAGCCCAGGTTTTAGTTTAGTTTTTCGCCGCACCGAGCAAAATTCCAGCTATATGGCGGTAGTCTGTAAATAATCGAGTCTGGACCAGACAATCCAGTGATCAACAGCATAAGTATCAATCTACGCAATTGGGAACCGATGACATGTGTCAACCAAGCCAGCGAGCCTGACTACCTGATCCCGTTAGTCGCCTCTTACAACAAGCATGGGTTACGAAAGATCAATTCTAACCCGGATCTTCACGGGCCGTATCCCAGAGTCGTGGGTCGTTGGTAACAGCCTGTATTATCTCGTCGGTAATCTCTCATCCTGTATTTTAACTTACCACTATCCATCTTGATATATATCATCCATCAACATAACTATGCCCGTTACAAGGTTACTGGAACAACAGTTAACTATCCTGGTTACAGCGAGGTGGTCTGTCCCGATATGCCAGGGCTAACTGTGCTGGATGACACAAACCCGGTAACAAAGGGTAATGGCTGACTAGTGTGTGAGTGAGTTTAGTTTTATGCCGCTTTAAGCAATATGCCAGCAACATCGCGACGGGGGACACCGGAAATGGGCTTCACACATTGTGCCCATGTAGGGAATCGAACCTGGGTCTTTGGCTTGACGAGCGAACGTTTCAACCACTAGACTACCCCACCGCCCCTAATGTATGACTAAGTCATACTTCAACATAGTGTTAACTTAAGGCTATCATTTGGTATACTCATGTCTAAACTCACCCAAGCTGACATACACTATGATAATTTGATATGATCCATGAACACCTTGTCAAATATGAATGACCTGAATCAATCCAGCCACCCCTTTCTTCTTTCGATAGTTTACTCACACGTCCTCTTTACTCATACTAACAACTCAGTACTACTTAGTTTATTGTTGTGGCTTATGAAAATTACGTCTGTTTTTCATGGTTGTTATATTGGCCTGATTGAATAAGGCTCGAGAGGTTGCGTTGCCTGGTAACATCGGTTTTCATGGTTGTTATATTGACCTGATTGAATAAGGCTCGAGAGGTTGCGTTGCCTGGTAACATCGGTTTTCATGGTCGTTATATTGGCCTGATTGAATAAGGCTCGGAAGGTTGAGTTGCCTGGTAACATCGGTTTTCATGGTTGTTATATTGACCTGATTGAATAAGGCTCGGAAGGTTGCGTTGCCTGGTAACATCGGTTTTCATGGTTGTTATATTGACGTTGATTGAATAAGGCTCGGAAGGTTGCGTTGCCTGGTAACATCGGTTTTCATGGTCGTTATATTGGCCTGATTGAATAAGGCTCGGAAGGTTGAGTTGCCTCGTAACATCGGTTTTCATGGTTGTTATATTGACCTGATTGAATAAGGCTCGGAAGGTTGCGTTGCCTGGTAACATCGGTTTTCATGGTTGTTATATTGGCCTGATTGAATAAGGCTCGGAAAGTTGCGTTGCCTGGTAACATCGGTTTTCAGTGAAGCTTCATCACCACCAGTTTAACTAAATACTTTAATCGAATATGTACTTGATGGAGAGTAATCACGACTTTACGACCAGTGTCCCTTGTCGTGTATACGACATTAAGTCTTGTAAAGGTGTATGTGAAGCATGAGTGTGATGACTGTCAAGGTGGTACAACCTGAGTAGATGCGCGTTCTAGTAAGGGGGTAACCACGGTTAAGGTACTACGGCCAGCATAAATGTATATTCACCCTCTTCTGAGTAACGAGGGCGGCGGGGTAGTTGTTAAAGCATTCGCTCGTCACGTCGAAGACCCGGGTTCGATTCCCCACACGGGTACAATGTGTGAAGCTCATTTCTGGTGTCCCCCGCCGTGATATTACTAAAATATTTCGAAAAGCGGAGTAAACCGAGACTCACTCACTCACTGAGTAACCACAATCACAGCGCTACGAACAGAGTTGTTGCACGTTAAAGTACGAGAATAAGGATAGACAAACTTTGTGGAAGAGAGACCAAGTTTTTCAGTATGAATATCAATATGAAACATGCTACGGACCTGTTCGTGTTTACATTACCTTTCTTCATTAAAGTGACTTCTATCAGGTATAGTCTGGTAAAATGAGGCTGTACACAGCGAAATGTTCCTTTATGAAACAGGTGATTATTTCCCACTGATCCGCTATCTTGTGTAGCCAGGCGCCTCTCAGTGTGAGCAACACAACCGCCTTCAGTCTAATATCCACAGAAAGAACACTGAGAAGTACTTAACGTCCAGGTGAAGTATGATCACATTTCCTTCAGATCAGATCAATACTATTAGGTTGCAGAAATATATTTTGAAATGATGATATTGAAAGATGAAGATTAATAAAATGCAATTCAAGACTGATATCTATATTAGCTATGTGACTGTTAAGGAGAGATTCCTACCTAACGTCCTTTCGTCTTTTCTTTCCGTTTAACTACCACGATCAAATTCCCTATAGTTTCCTGTATCCATTAAAGGTTTCAGCTCATTGAGGATGTTGCTCAGAAGACGATGCTGGATATTTGTACTACCTGTCAGATGTTGATATTTAGTTCCATGAACACACACCAGAGTCCTATTTACACACATCAGGCTCACACACACACACACACACACACACACACACACACACACACACACACACACACACACACACACACACACACACACACACACACACACACACACACACACACACACCACCACCACCACCACCACCCCACACCCCCTTACCCATCTGTTCCTCATTGCATCGAGGATTACAACAATCAAGATAGTAATGTTATAACAATAAATTCCCCCAGTGTGACTATATCATGTGTTTCCGTGTTTTGTAGTGTTTTTTTAGGCGAATAACTGACGATTTTTTTCTTCCCTGTTTGTGACGGGCAACAACGATAGAGCAAAATACACTCACCGTTTCGCGAACACGTAGTATCTAGTCATTACCTCTGTGAAGCTATGATACCTATGAGCACGAGATTGATGCTGAGAAAAACACAAACATAATCAGGACGTGAACCCTGACTCGAACCAATGGTTAAAGGTTTCTGGGAAGGTGTTCTGCACAGCTAATTGTGAGGCTTCGTGAGACTTGTCAACCCGCGAAGCAT